GAAACAAAGAGGTTCGCAACGCGAAATATCTATTAAACTTTGAACAGAGAACGTTTCAAGGTATAACGAAAGACTGAAAATAAAATTGCAGGCAGTATTTTCTCCGAAAATTATTCGGATAATTATTCAGTTTTGTTTACTTTGTACATATTGCAACTGTTATCCTTAAGTGGTTTCCATCGAACGAATTAAGGTTATATTCTGGAGAGACACCTGGTATACCAGATGGGCGGTGCGAGAACCGTAATTCAGCACGCGGCTCGTTAAAGTCGGTGCATAATGAAATTAATGTAAAGGCTCCGTAACGGGCTGCGGTCGATATTAAATCGTGCAATTAATTACGTATCACCAGTTATTATACCGAATGGAGGCGCTTTCACGAAGACGGGATACTGATTCGAGGCGAGAAAACAGCGAGCACAATAACCATGTGTAATGTATGTTTTCGTGAACGTTTTTTTGCGCTGACCGCCGCGTTACGGTTATCTCGATTAACATTCTTATGTCACGAATATAGTCTGCGACATAAGTTATCGCAGACAACGAATGTGGGAACAGGTTCGGTTCTGAAATCGCATCGGTTTCGGTCGTTTTCACCTTTGAACCGAAAGATTTCCCTTTGATAATCGGTAATAAGATTTCTGAGGATTTCACGGTTCACTCTGTTTTATCCTTCGTTTCGCTGGACCTAAACAGGTGTTCCAACTCGCGAGCATATTTCGGAAGTCTACTCGAGCAAAGTGTGCAATTCCCTCGCTAGTTTTTCTATAGCGAAGCAGCAAAAAAGAGGAAATGGAGAAGGCTGAACATACCTATGCTAATGTTGGACGATTGCACCGATCGTAAAAATGACACGTTCCCAGACTCCTGGTAACCGGACGATCTTTCAACAAACGCGTCACACACGCGTCACACGAGTTTCTGTTTGTACATAAACCAGTTTATAAATCGTCGGTTTCTTTTCTCACCTATCGCCGTGCCCGATCTCGAAGAATCGCACGCGTACTCGAGTTTCTCCAAAAGGAAAAACTGCGTCCGAATCGAAGTTTCCTCGCGAGCGAATGTAAAATTGATCGGAGTGGCGCGAAGGATGTGCTCTCGTCCTCGAGGCGAATTTTTCCTGGCGAAAAAAGGTGGGCGTGCATCGTTGGTCTACGATAGGTGGGATCACCGTGACGACGATGAACTTAACAATGGCATTGCGGTACGCTGCTCGAATTTAATTCGAAAGCAACGAGACCCATTGTACGCGAGAGACGTATAAATAGACGAGGTCGGTACGCGTGCCCACGCAGCAAGCTTTATGCCACCGAGCATCTCTTTCTCCTTCCGCCTCGTACCGGCTCGAATTTACATTTTACAACCGCGGACGACTTTTTAGAAAAACAACGTATAAATTCTCGTTAAACGCGATTCGTTCAGACAGCGTTTCGTTACTCGACTTCACTGGTTGATCGGGTTAATGGTTAATAAATTTTAATAGATACCTCCCGGTTACGTACGCGATACGGTAAATTGAAGTCCGAAGACGATGTTTTACATATTTTTTTCATTGGTAATGCTCGCTAATAATTACGACACTGTTCGAGATCCTTCTCCGGAAGTTGTGTTTGCTATCAGCAGAAGACGTATCGGTACCGATACGAGTCGAGAAATAAAATGTTGCGCGTCGAAATTCTCTAATACACGCTCTACTAATTCCCGGAGACTCGATACCGGTGCATCGACTAGAATTAGGTACTTAAATTTTGAACTGAGCCTTTGAGTAAATATTCGATCCAAGTATCAAGTATGTCGTGGACCAAGATCGCCCCAGATACAATAAGAAGAAGCGAAGACGAATGTTGGCGAAAGTGTCGGCGCAGCAAGTAGAGTAGTCGATTACTATTTTAGTCTTCTCCCCTGAGTTGGAATTCCTGCGATTCGCATTTTTTTACGATTCCCGTACGATCGGTAAAATACGAGAGAAGAACATTAAACAGCGTCAGCATCGATGATATCATTACAGCGAATTACCGCATTGAAATTTGAAAGGTAAGAGATCGTTCGTCAACGCTTCGACTTTTGATTCGATGCGACACAATTTCGCGACAACTTCCGAGCGTGCGGACAATAGCGTAACACGATGACAAGCTAGAGACTTCAAAGACAGTGTCCGGGGACGGTATTGTCGTTCAGGAACCGTTTTATTGCGGTTTGCGCCAGTTCAGAGGCGAAGATCTCCGGTGGCGAGGACATTGTTCGAACGTCTGGGAGTCTCTCATGATTGTCGTGCTTCCCATTCTCGTAATAGTGGCCGTATTCAAATAACGTCGGTACACGTCTACGCATCGCGATCGTTGGGCAATCGGAAAAAAAAGAGGAAGCAACCTGCAGCCGTTCGCGCAACCGCTCCACTTGACACCGGTGTGCCATATTCGCTCCTCTCTTATTAATCGTCACATTTTCTGCACTTACATTCCGTATACAATTACATTCGTAAATGTGAAAAGTGTGTTGACAAGGGTAAGGCCTCTTCGGAGTACACAGTGCTTGCGAATTTATTAGAGAATAATGTGAAACACGTGCTGTATGTATAACGCGTTTATAGGTACATCTACAATATAATCTCGTAAACAGTATTTTTTCCTTGCATAATTGCTACGCGCGGTAGATAAACAAGTCTAACTGATTCTGTTAGAAAATGGTATGTTCAAGATTCAACATCTAGTGCGACGTATTTTCGATTTATTTTGAAGTATCCGACTGTGGTTTTCGTTGAGGATTCGTGAATGTAACAGATTCGAAGAAAACGTATCCGATTTGTGGTTAAAAATTGTAAATCTACTTAAGTCGATGATAAACCGGCCGGTTTGTTTAGCGCCGCCCTCGATCTTGATTTTATCTCCAGTCGCAACGTTAATTGTACAAACTGGCAGTGTAAATTACGGGCCAGTCTCGGGTGAGAAAAAGCGGTGCTGATCGTACGTCGGTGAATTATTACACAGATAGAAAAGACGGTCGCTAAGGAATCGTTAATGGCGTGGCGTGGATCGGTCGGCGAAAAGAAAGAAAATAATGGAGCGCACGCGAAAGAGACGAACGGAAAGAGCGGAGGAAAAGGCCAATCCTATTGGTTTCGCGCGACCGTTAACGGTCTTGTCGGTCTATTTCGATCGGCGTGGTCCCAGCAACAAAAATCGAGGCGCCTCGCCGTTGGCTTACCTGTTATCAATTAACTGTTAACGTTGCTGCACCCTCGGAACCGTAAGTGCTGCGTGCACTATCGAACCGGCCTGTTTCTCTATGAATAATGTATCTCGGTTCGGGGAATTCATGGCATTTAATCATTGGATCGTTAACAGCGGACAGACGACCGACTTGCAGAGATTTATGCGGCACCCACGAATATTCTTGCTACGTTCATGAGAATCTTCCGCGAACCGTGCGATTGCCACGCTCGATCCTGGATAAAGCGTTTCCATTCCTTTGACGCGATGGGCTGATAATGTCAAACCATTAAGTACATGTATCTTCGGTTTTTAAGCATTTTAAATGTTTCCGAGTGTTTCAATTGCAATTACATTACAAAAGAGTGGCGATCTAATGCTTGACTATGCTACGCGTGGTAATAAAACGCGTACCAAATTGTTGTTCACAAAATTAAATATCTCCATTTTCTGTAACCGTAATCGATGACGAGCAAGGATAAAAATAGAAAGAAGATTCGAAGAAGTGGAGGAATTCGATTAACAAGTCTCATGAAAAATTTTATCGACTTGCAAGAGCTATTAACAGTGACATATACGGTTAATGGCTTCTATCCGTTAAGTAGCAGCGGTAATTATTTTGAGCGGCTAGATCATTATTATGCAATGACGCATAGCCGAAATCGTGTTGAACGGAAACAGAAGAGCATAAAATTTAATATCGGCTGGTGATGCGACACGCTCCCACAATGTGCTATCTTGCTTTTACGCGTTAGATGGAACCAACGAACAAAGAGTCATTTTCAACGAATTACAAGAGTTGTTCGCAAGCTTTTCAGCCTGAATTCTGTCGGATCAGCTAGCACGGGGTTATCTGGAGGTGCCTCGAATGGGCGCAGTCGCTCGTCCAGTCCGGAGGCGCGTAAATTTATGAACGAGGAAACGCGGCGGGCATCGCGGCGGGAACATAGCTTTCGCGATGTCTCGTTGCTTGAGCGGCAGAACGAACCGTTCGGTGATATAAGGACGAGCGTGGGCGACGCTTACTTTTGAAGCGGGATCGCAAGCGCGACTTTGAAACTGGTTCCGAGCGAATTAGACGACAACCAGCCTTCGAGCCCGGTGAAACGCTCCCTCGTTTCTATTTTATTCTATACAATCTATACACCTATTTGTTACTCTTCGCCGCTTTATCCTTGTTTCGACTATAAAAAGATGTCGCTGTTCGGAATGGTCTTCACAAATGGTGCATACGGGATCGAAAGTTGATTTCGTGCAGCTGCGAATCGAAAAAGGCGGGAATTCAACTGGTTCGATTCGATTCGACGCGGTCGAATTCGACACGATCCCAATTTGGCGGGATTGGAAATTCAACGCGATTCGTTTCGACGAAGTTCGATTTAGATTTGTTACCACCATCGCGCGTGCATTTTTTATTTATTAAAAATAAGGCAGTGAAATTTGTAGGCAAACGCTAGTACAGAACGCGTTACAAGATCAAGTGCGAAAACGTTAGCGAGAAATTGTTTGACGCTTGCATGCGAGCTCGGTGAGTCAGTGATTAAAGGGTTAAACTGGACCGGTCGGAAGCGGAAGTCGCGATGTTTACAACGGGGACGCAGGAGTACGATCCGAGATTTCATCGGCAGGTAGCCGTGCGAGGGAACCCGACGAAACGTCTCAATCAATTTCAGGTAGCCACGTTTTCTTCGTGGTCGCCTCTCGATTCTCGCGGCGGCGGCTTCATAAATATTCAGAGGAGCCGGTCGCGCTAACTCTCGAACCCTTGTAAGAAAAAGAAAATCGATTTACCTTTTGCGTCATTCCACGACCTTGAAGTCGGGGGTTGTTGGTCGCACTTGCGTCGAACGGTTCTCACTTTCCCACCTGTGTCTTCCTTTTTTCTCTCGTCAAACTCGTTTTTCCGTTCCGTTTATTTTTTCTGAATCTCTCCGCCACGTGCCACCGTTACGAGTTCACCACGCGCAAGGGATAGAAAGAGAAGAGTCAGTCAGTCAAAGACAGAAAGAAGCGGAAGAAGTAGACGGAAGAAAAGCGAAGAGGGAAACTGTAAGAATCACTGTGGTTTCAACAACGGCACACTATCCTCACACTCGTGCACTTCTTCTTCTTCCTCTTCGTTCATCGATCCTCGCTAGGATCGTGTTCCTACCGGTATCCTGAATGGAACGTCCGATCGAACATCCTGAAGAGGCTCCGCGACGGGACTCGGCCTTTCAGGAGTGCGCCTCGTGGCGACCACGTGTTCGAGCGGACAGATCGCGACGCGTGTCACGCGACTGTTCCTCGTCCCGGGATCATTCGTATCACTGAACTCCGACAAATCCTTTAGGCGGGATCTTTCTGTTCCGGTAAAAGCTGGGTCGAAGAGAAAGAGGTACGGTAGCACGCGACGATCGATCTTCACCGACACCAACTTCACCGAGCGTGTAGTATCCTCTGTCCGATGCTGGGAGGTCCTCGAGGCTGGTACTCCGGCGAGGACGATCTCGTGGTCCTGATCGATCGCGTGTCGCGTCGTCAGGACAGTCGGGTCCTGACTGGTCGTTCCTTTGGCTCAGCAACGGAGGAGGAACGGAAGGAGTCAACCACGTTGCTCAGCACCGTCCGGCGATCGTTTGGTGCTCCTTGTCCAGGTCCTCTCTCGAGGCGTGTGATATCCCCCCCGTCGGGCTGCCTCGTGGAGTCTCAATCAATTTCAGGTAGCCACGTTTTCTTCGTGGTCGCCTCTCGATTCTCGCGGCGGCGGCTTCATAAATATTCAGAGGAGCCGGTCGCGCTAACTCTCGAACCCTTGTAAGAAAAAGAAAATCGATTTACCTTTTGCGTCATTCCACGACCTTGAAGTCGGGGGTTGTTGGTCGCACTTGCGTCGAACGGTTCTCACTTTCCCACCTGTGTCTTCCTTTTTTCTCTCGTCAAACTCGTTTTTCCGTTCCGTTTATTTTTTCTGAATCTCTCCGCCACGTGCCACCGTTACGAGTTCACCACGCGCAAGGGATAGAAAGAGAAGAGTCAGTCAGTCAAAGACAGAAAGAAGCGGAAGAAGTAGACGGAAGAAAAGCGAAGAGGGAAACTGTAAGAATCACTGTGGTTTCAACAACGGCACACTATCCTCACACTCGTGCACTTCTTCTTCTTCCTCTTCGTTCATCGATCCTCGCTAGGATCGTGTTCCTACCGGTATCCTGAATGGAACGTCCGATCGAACATCCTGAAGAGGCTCCGCGACGGGACTCGGCCTTTCAGGAGTGCGCCTCGTGGCGACCACGTGTTCGAGCGGACAGATCGCGACGCGTGTCACGCGACTGTTCCTCGTCCCGGGATCATTCGTATCACTGAACTCCGACAAATCCTTTAGGCGGGATCTTTCTGTTCCGGTAAAAGCTGGGTCGAAGAGAAAGAGGTACGGTAGCACGCGACGATCGATCTTCACCGACACCAACTTCACCGAGCGTGTAGTATCCTCTGTCCGATGCTGGGAGGTCCTCGAGGCTGGTACTCCGGCGAGGACGATCTCGTGGTCCTGATCGATCGCGTGTCGCGTCGTCAGGACAGTCGGGTCCTGACTGGTCGTTCCTTTGGCTCAGCAACGGAGGAGGAACGGAAGGAGTCAACCACGTTGCTCAGCACCGTCCGGCGATCGTTTGGTGCTCCTTGTCCAGGTCCTCTCTCGAGGCGTGTGATATCCCCCCCGTCGGGCTGCCTCGTGGACGAAGCGGAATATCAGCGAGCGCTCTCGAGGAGATTCGTGAGACGCGACTCGCTGCGAGTCGTGGATCTCCGAGGCGGGTAACGGGGAGAGTCGTGGCGAACCGAGGCGCGGCAAGACGCGGCAAGACGAGAGGCTGTGCACCGTGCACGGTGGTGAGTAAGCCGAGTGTATCGGTGAGTAAAGCTGCGTCGCGCGAGTGAACAGAAGAGAAGAGTACGGCGTGGCCGGTTGGTTGGATAACGACGAACGAACCGAGCAAGGGAGAAAAAGGTGATCGAGCTAGAGGGACGGAGAGGAAAGTAGACCAACCGAGATGAACAAGAGAGAGGGGCTGAGAGGAGAACGCACACAGAGAAGGGTACCGTGGACTGGGCGGGGAGACTGAACCCGTAGGTTGGCGGGTAGGTTGGTAAGTAGGTAGGTAGGTAGGTAGGTGAACCAGGAGGTACACACGGTGGACGCTCGCCGGTGTCGTTCGTAGTCTGGGTGGATCGCTGCCGCGGTCCAGGTACCATCGTACATGTCCTTACACAGGATGATACTTCGGATCTCTTAATGCCTCAGGCTTCTGTCGCCACCTTAACCCTTTTCGACATTCGACTACTTAATGCTAACAAATATTTATCTCTATTGCCCTTTGTCGATTACTCTGTTAACGAACCATCGAACCGATGTTTAACTAACGAGAAATCTTGGCGGGTACTTATAGTCGCCTTTTTAATTACGCTTTCAGAACATACCTAATCAGCTGTTAAAAGAGGTGGGAGTTTTAAGAAAATTATGTTTTTATTTTTACCGGTACAGGCTCCGTAATATGGATCAATATAAGCTCACTGACGTGTTAGTTCACGTGCGAGGTCTGTAATGTGACGCTACTTTATTTGGTAGCATTACTTTGCAAACTATAATTAATGTGCTGAGATTGCACATTTTAAAGCGTTATGAGATGTGATTGTAAGCTATGAATTTGTTCAAAGTACCAACAATTCAACATTTGACCCTAATAGAAAAAATATAATCGAAAAATGTGCAATCAGCGTTTATACCGAGAACCGTCCTGGTTTACTCTGTTCGACAAAAAGTACATTAAAACGGCGAGTCTCGCCGATGAAAAAAGTGTTAATTTACAGACGAAATAAAAGGAAAATGCGTGAATCGATAAGCGCGGTCCTCTTATCGTTAACGGCGAGAGACGTCGGGAAGGTAAGTGCTCTCCTCTCTTTCAGTTACGGGAGTAGCACCATGCCGGCACGCGACCTGCCCTCTCCATCCCCGTCTTTCGTCTCTCACGATCCTCTCTCTCTCCCACCCCTTGTTCCTCGCGTCTTCTTCCTTTTGCTATAGCGGCAGCCGGCATTTCTCCTTCTAGCTTCGATCGTTTCCTCTACTAGGTTCCTCTTCGACGTTCTCTTTCCCTCGCTCGGTTCACCGCCGAGGCAACCACGCGGGAGAGACAGAGACGAATCGTGGATCTAGTGTTGGTGCACCACTCCTACCTGGTGGACACCGACACACCGGAATCCTCCCACCAACCGGCGATCCTAGAGAGGAGAGAAAGAGAGAAAGAAACCGAGAGGAGTCGGGAGTAACGCTCGGCTATCTCCTCTGTGTCGTTAATCGCGGTGTAACCTCTCGGCCAACTAATTCACCTTTGCAACTGTACCGACACCCCACCAGGATCGCGCAGGGATAAGTTTCTCTCTTTTTTCTTTCGGTATCGCGTCGCTTCGTTTCCTGGATGGACTGGTATTCGGTCAACAACTGGCAATGATCGTTTCTTGCCGATTGACAATTGGGATTAGTTGTTCGGGTACTTCCCGTACCTATATTCCTTGTTAGAGCTCATCTATTTGTTTCGTTAGTATGGAACAGAAAAAGGAAAAGCAATGCACAGAGTCTGATAACGAACTTGTTGCTCAGGGAACAGTTAGACTTAGGTCGGAGGCATGTTTGTACGCATCCTAGTGGATCGATATAAAGGTTTATGTTCGTTATTAATAGCCGAGGTTGGGCCATGTTGGGTTGGAGATTAATCGGTAGACGTTATTGATCCTTTCGATTACACGTATACCTTTTTTCGCGCGCTCTTCGCTTCTGAGCGTCCTTTCCTCTCAAGGCCCGGAATCTACTCCTACCACCGTTGAATGGCCATCGTTTCGTTACTCCTTGTTTTGTTCGTCGCTTCTGGGACACTAATTCACATCCGCAACTGTATCATTGCCCCCACCAGAAGCTGTCTGGCCTCCGGTTCTTGATTCTCTTTGATCCGGTTGTCCTAGGACCGGGCTACTCGTTACAGTTCTCTTCGAACTCCTCTACATTCCAGTCGTTACAATCTATTTACAATATTTTCGCTAGCCACGACTTCTGTCGTAACACGTACAATTGAAATATATTTCAGAAAATAAGGAATTGTTTAATATCCGATTGATCGTATAAAAATATTATTACACCGTAAATTTCACCATCTGATTTCCTGTGGTATTACTGGCTTCTGGTTGTACAAGGCTCGGGGCAGAAAGTGTCTCAACCAGTGGGTCACTGGGGTCTACAGGTTTTTTGGATCGCCATTGAACCGTGAAAGCCCGATCGTGTCTCGATCTCGAATAACGGCTGAAATCGAAATCTATTACTCGTTTGGCTACATTCTGTTGGAAAAAACAATAGAAATTTTTGGAAATATTCGAGTTGCGAAATATCGAATCGGAACGTAAAAAGTTAAACGAACAAAGGTGGAAGTTGGATCGTAAGCGAATTACTCATCCTTGCACCGCCATATTTGGCGGAAACATTATCCAACTTCTGGCTTTCTGGGTCAATCTCTGGTTAGCTTCTTAGCTTTAGGTTGCTCGAGACGCCCGAGAAACTAAGTACGACGGGTAAATCGAGGAGGCAGTGTAGGTATATACGCCTCGAGACCTTAGATCATCGGATCCTCGTGGATCTGCTTCGCTCCGCCTTGTTGCGCAACGATCACCGCCGACGGTGATCTCGGGCACAGCAGTCCTGACACAGTTACCTGGTCAGAGCGTTACGGTCAGATTAAAGAAATGAAAAAAAGGGGCCCGAGAAACGTGAGCCACTCTCGAAGACCCTTCTCTCCCTGCTTCACGGTTTCTCGACTTTTTTGCGACCTTTCGTTCACCGAACGAAGAGACAATTCCCTTTCTTTCTCCGCAATCATTTCTTCGTTAAGTTTCTAATCGTTACGTCGTCAACGAGACCAGATACCCTTTCTATATTCTCTTCACTATTTTGCGAATCATTCGATTAGCTATATAAATAGATTCGATTTCCTGTTTCGTAAGTCACGATAGCGCTTCGAACACGTAGGAGCGCAAAAGTGGTTGGGGTTGCAACGAAAGGGTGACCATCGACGGTAATAGATACTTCTGAGACATTTGCTTATTATCTATTAAATTCCCAATCTCTTCGAACATCTCGAAATTGCACCGATTGAGCAAATCTCGAGCAAAACAATTTCTATTCGTTTGGTCGCTTTGGTGTTTTCGTAACGAGTCAGATTCTACGAAATACGAAGTCGTGGGACCATTCAGACCTGAAGTCCGGACCAAGATTAACTAACGATGCCGTTAAACAGAGATTTAGAGCAAGGTGGCGCGAAAAAGCGCAACAGCACTGCGGGCGGGATTCGAGGATCGACCATAAAGAGGATCGGGACGCGTCGACTATGGAACACCTTCGCGGTGTTACGATATCCGATATTACGGATTGGTACATCGAGATTTCAGCCGAGTGATTCCACGATGCCTCGAGCTTCCAGCGCGGGAAATGTCTCGAACTGTTCGGCACCTTACTGACCCAATTACACCTTTGTTTCGGTGAAATTTTTACGTCGCCTCGAGGTACGCTCCGACAATTTGA